CTCCCTTCCTCTCTGAGATCAATAAAAATATATTTAAAAAGATAAATATAAAGTGCTTAGAACAAAAGAAGTAAGATGCAAGGTCTGTACTTTTTTTACAAAAAGTATTTGCCCTAGCCAGTTTGGCTCAGTGGATAGACGGTCAGCTTGTGGACTGAATAGTCCTGGGTTCGATTCTGGTCAAGAGCACATACCAGGATTTCGGGCTCAATCCCCAGCAGGGGGCGTGCAGGAGGCAGCCGATCCATGATTCTCTTTCATTATTGATGTTTCTCTCTCTCTCTCTGTCTCCCTCTCAGAAATCAATAAAAATATATTTTTAAAAATGCAGCATTTTACTAAAAGGTACAGTTCTCAAAGGAGAGGGAGCCATGGGCTGGGCTTAAGTCCCCAAAGTGCCCACTCCGTTCCACCCCTTGGATGCTCAGGACACCCATAGACCCTGTCTCTCTCCATGTAAACCTGGTTTTGCTGAACTCAACTCAAACATCTCACCCACAACTACAACTATTTTACCTCCCACCAAAGGCAACCGAAGTCACGGTCAGACCCTACATCCAGAAGCCGCGAAATGCGGGCCACTGTTCAGGGCCCACATCGTCGGGGGAATGTGCACGCCCCCTGTAAGCCTGTAACAACCTCCACATCCATCAGCACTCAGTTGTCAGGGCCAGGAACCAGCTCTGGAGGGTGTAATTAGCAAGAAATGCACTGGAACGACACTGGGCAGCCGGGAGGGTCATCAGGAACTGCAGACCAAGCCTAGAGGCTGGGCTGGAACAGGGGTGTCTGGAGTAGCCAGGGCCCCCAAACCATCCGGTGATATCACTACCGCGTGCCACGTGCCACTCAACGCCGGATGCCCCGGCTCGCTCGGCTGCCAGCACAGACACCCCAGGAATTCCACGTGTTTGCTGCCGTTGCTTCTAACCGCCAACAAACTGGATTCGCCACCAACCCTGCCCCTTTCCATCACCAGCTCCCTCCACACAACCTGCGGTCGGCGCACCTGGTGGCCGGCCAGCACCCTGGGGTGGGAGAAGGGAGAACTTCGTCTCTGCGAGGCTCCTAAGCGGGGAATTCTTCAAACAAAGGTGGAAAAACAAATAGATGCTCATTGTCAGCCTGTCTGCTGTTCTGCAGCCTCATTCCTGCACGGACGGCTGACACCAGCAGGAACGGCGCGAACAAAAGCCCAGACACACGCTGGCCGTCTCCACACGGCGCCGTCTCCACGCTCCAGGGGCAGCTTTTCCGGAACCAGAGCAGAGTTCTCTCATTTTGTCAAAACAAAACTACTCTCCCTTCAGCCCCGGGACGGCTTCTTCTTCCTAACCACAGGAGCGCCGATGCTTTTCTTAAAAAACAGTGTGTGTGTGTGTGTTTTATTGATGTCAGAGAGGAAGGGACAGGGAGAGAGGGACAGAAACATCAGTGATGAGAGAGAATCATGGATCGGCGGCCTCCTGCACGCCCCCCACTGGGGATCGAGCCGCAACCTGGGCATGTGCCCTTGACCGGGAATCGAACCGTGACCTCCTGGTTTATGGGTCGGACGCTCAACCACTGCGCCACGCTGGACTGGCACTTTTCATCTTTTTGTCAGTCACGTTTGCCACGCCCATGGGACTGCTCTTAGGACAGCTGCGCAGCGTGCCCCTCCCCACGGTCAGGCTCCCACCTGTGGCCTCTCCTGTGGCCTGGAGTGGAGGGGGTTGGCTCTCAGCACTGGGCCAGCTCTGGGGCCGGCAGAGGGCCATGTCCCTAAGCCACAGTCTCCTCAGAGGTGGTTGTGATGCTGTGTGACTCTGACCCCGAGCCCTGCGCTTGTCACTGCATCGCCACCTGCTAGGAATGCAGCTCGGCCCTCCCCGCACTCAGCAGGATGTTTGCCCGCCACGGGGTGCAGAGGCTGTCCTTCCCTCTGGGAGCCTGGAGGCCAGGGGCAGAGAGGAAGCCAACTCTTTAACAAAGAAACAGGAGGTAGGAAACACCAGGATGTGCCTGGGTCCAGGAGCCGTGCAAAGGCCCTGGGGACTGCCGCCAGTGAGCCAGGGGTATAGGGGCGGGCAGGGGCCAGGGTAGCCGCTGCCCCCCGAAAACCACCCATGGTGCGCCGCAGCCGCACACGAAGACCCACAGGACGCTGTCCTCACAGGCTGGGCGGCATCAAAGCCATTTGTTTTCTGGAGAAAAACAGGCCCCGGGTGCCAACAACGATCTTTCAAACAGACAGAGAGCTGTTTGTCCTGGAGAGCAATGGCTGTGCGGCCGCTCTGGGAGGAGGGACAGCTGGGCCGTCACAGCGGGCGTGATGAATGGCTTCCTGCTTGGAAATGAAGCCGAGGGGGTGTCATCCTGCCCCGACCGGGGTTCAGAGGGTGGGGGGCCTCCCTGGAAATCAGTCCCATCTTCTGCAAACGACACGCAAATGTGCTGTCACGTTTTGACTTACGCAGAGCTGCAGAGGGACGCGCAGCCAGGAGAATGCTCTCTCCCGGTTAAACGTCAGAAGGGGTCAGAACGTGGTTTTTACTCTGGTTGCCAAGAAAGTCAGGGTGTAGAGAGCCCCTGGGAAGGCACACGGACATTTCTTTAATAAATTGTCAGCTGAATCCAGGGCGGTAGGCAAAGCCACGTCCTGGAAACACATTTTGCCGAAAGGCAGAAGTGTTCTCAGCTTGACCTTCATTTCTGCCCAGGTCCCGGGAGTGGGTTTTATTATGTAAATCCAGCCAAACACCAGGAATCAATATGACCCCTTCCAGAACTGACATTACAAGAATGCACATAATCTCCTTTATCTTGACCTTTGATGAAACTTCCTGGTATTTGGGGTATGAAATAAACACGCTGTATCGGTGCTGGGTCCCTGTCTCTCCATCAGAAGAGGGCAGCGTTCCCACCCGGTCCCAGCTTTTCCTTCCATCTCTGTGCCTGTCTCTTTCTTTCATTTTCTCAAACCCCAGCCGCCCCTACTCAGGAACCGGACCGCTCTCTAGCCGTGATGGACGAGGAAAAGGGAGAACCCTCCACATCAGGGTCAAGTTTAGGTGCAGGAGCCCTATCCCTCCAGCCTCTGGTACACTTATTCCTCTCCACCTCAGCGGTTTCCTAAGAAAGGAAAAGAAAAAGTTCACCAAACACAACCTCCACTTCCATTTAGTTCCTTTTGATCTTTAGTTACAGGAACTGCTGTGTGGACCTGCACGTTCACATGCAATTTTGTTTTCCTTATTATTGTCATTTCTTTCCATAACATTAGGTCACGAAGCTCAGACTCCATTTAGGCCTCCGAGTGGGTCTTTCACAGGGCGCCCATGGCCGTACCGCAAGCCGGCCATTGTTGGACGAGCTTTATTTATTTATTGTTTTAGTTTTTCTGTATAATAAACAATCCTGCTGTTACGAAAACCAATGAGTGCAGGTCATGAAAGAAGTCACACAGAAAGCAATGCGAACGCTAATAAGCGCATGGGAAGCGCCGGTCGGCCTCCGTGGTGGTTAAAGACGCGCTGGAGCAACGAGACGCCCGTTTCTTTCACCCGTGGAAACGGCCCAGATTAAACCGAGTTGTTGCTCAAAGCCGGGGAGGAGGCGAGAGCCACGCTCGGCCCGTGCCTCTGCCAGCGCCGCGAATGGGTTTCTGGGCAGCGACGGCTCTTGGGGCACAGCCACGCTGGGAGCGGAGCCAGGGCTCGCGGTTTCCGCCGCTGCCTGATGGATAACCCCCAAAGGACACGGCCAAGCGAACGTGTGTGCGCACCGCTCTCATCCTGTCACTCGCCAGCTGTGCGATGCCGATTTCAACTGACGGGGGAATGTTTACGCCGTGGGGTTCAGTGACAGACAGAACCCTCCATAGGCGCCCGGGACTGGGAGACCCATGTCCTGGGTTTAAATCCCAGATCCTCTTGTCATGAGAATCTGCCCACGACCTCACCTCTCGGCCCCGGCAGAAAGGGGCCACTGAAGCCCCCAGAGCCGTGTGAGTTCTAAGGAAGTAACGTCTGAGCACCTGCCGCGCCTTCTCGGCACTGTAGCCTCTTTACGGGGCTTAAAAACACAGCTACCGCCAAGCGCTGATGAGTCCCACTTGTCTCCACCCCACAGCCAGCTGCCTGCAGGACCTCACCGCGCCTGGCCCCAGGCCACCAAAATGGACCAGGCAATCTTCCCGAGCTGCCCAGGGTCTCTGTGCCCCTCGCCTTCGCAGATGCTGTTCCCTCTGCCCAGGAAACCCTTCCCGCCCTTCTGCTCGCCTTCAGGGGCCATTCCGGGCCCCCTCTTCTGGGAAGCGCCTCACCCAGGAGGCAGGTGGCAAGGGGCCCCCGTTTGGAGCCTCGAAGTTCTGAGGCTCCTGGGGGGAGAAGAGTTGCTCCTTTTGTTTTTGGTGGTTGTTTTGTTAATCCTCACTCGAGGTACTTTTCCATTGAATGTTTAGAGAGAGTGGAAGGGAGAGAAGGAGGGGGAAAGAGAGAGAGAGAGGGAGAGAGAGAAACATCGATGTGAGAGAGGCACATGGGTTGGTTGCCTCCCCCAACTGGGGCAGGGATCAAACCTGCAAACCAGGACGAGCCCTGGACCCGAGACCCTTCCATGCATGGGCGGTGCTCTAACCACTTGGCTGCACTGGCCAGGGCCTGGTTTTGATTTTTAAATCTAACATGCATTCAGAAAAGGGCATTGCCCGGCCCGGGTTGCGGGCTCGATCCCCAGTGTAGGGCGTGCAGGAGGCAGCCGATCAATGATTCTCTCATCATTGATGTTTCTATCTCTCCTTCTCCCTTCCTCTCTGAAATCAATAAAAATATATTAAAAAAATAAAAAGAGAAGGGACATGTCATATGTGAACGGCTTGATAAATTTTCACAAATGGAGCCACTGGTAACCAATATCCAGTTAAAAAGAACAGATCCTAACCACCAGCACTCCCCTCCCCCAGCTTCCTTGTGCCAGTCGCTAACCCACCCACGGTCACCACCCTCCTGACGTGTCACCTGTTTTTGTCGTTCTGAGACGGAATTCCCATAGAGAGTTCTTTCTCGTCCGCTGTGCGGTTACACGGATCCCTGAGAGCCACGCTGTGGCTGCACGGGTGGCAGAGCTGTCGCTTTCAGAGCCGTGGGGCGCTCCGAGGTGCGTGCTGTGAGCAACGGAGTGTCCCCGGGAAAAGTCACTCACCCCCGCTGGGTCTGTCCACATCGTCCGTGTATTAGCGGAGGCCTTCCCATGAGCCAATAGAGTCACTCGCAGGTTACCCTCGGAGAGGGGAGGGGAGTGAGCGTCTGGTGGGATGTCTGGGTCACTGGCGGCGTCCACAGGTGGCGGAGGGCGTGGGTCTCAAGCCAGGCGGTGGCCGCAGCCGTGGCACCAGCACCCGTGGCACCTGCCTGGTGGGCGGGAGTCAGCAGGGCTCCGGGTGCGACTGGGGACACAGCCACACTCCAGCGTTCCTGTTACACCGTCACCTCGGTCCTGACAGCACTGGACCCGACCCCCGTGGCCACAGTGACTCCATTTTGGAACTTCCGAGGTGTCCAGCAGGCCGCTCCGCTCTGGCTCTGCACGGTGTCACTGCCCCTGTTTTCTTTTTAAATATGTTTTTATTGATTTCAGAGAGGAAGGGAGAGGGAGAGAGAGAGAGACATTAATGATGAGAGAGAATCGTGGATCGGCTGCCTCCTGCACGCCCCCTACTGGGGATCGAGCCTGCAACCTGGGCCTGTGCCCTGAGCGGAATCAGACAGGGACCCTCCAGTCCAAATGCTGACGCTCTGTCCACTGAGCACGCGGCTAGGACTGCCCGCCCCCCTTTTCATTCCACTGACTGACAATGGGCGACCCGGGGACACAGCTGTGAACACCATGGGGCAGGCTCCTGCCCTACTGTGCACAGGCAGGCGGCCTTTCTCTGGGCGCGAGGCCCACACATTCCAGACGGCTCCTGTGGGTGGCACCCCATCATCCGCACCTTCACTGCATTCCCTTCCTGTTTTTTTTTTTTTTTTTTAATAAATCTATGTATGGCTCCCACAGACGCCGGCACCACTGGTGGCTGCAGCCATGAATTCCTTCCCAAAGAAGTGGCCCCTGTTGTCCTAACTGGTTTGGCTCAGTGGATAGAGCCTCGGCCTGCGGACTCGGGGTTCCAGGTTCCATTCCGGTCAAGGGCATGTACCTTGGTTGCAGGCACATCCCCAGGAGGCAGCTGATTGATGTTTCTCTCTCATGGATCTTTCTAACTCTCTATCCTTCTCCCTTCCTCTCTGTAAAGAATCAATAAAATGTATTTTTTTTCAAAAGAAGTGGCCCCGCAGGCCCCGCGGAAGGCTGCTCCCCACCCGCAAACCCAACCTCTTTTCCTCGCGGGTGGGGTCCACGGCCCTCCACCCGCGTGGGTGGCGATGCTGGCCGAGTGCCTGCCTCTCCCGACGGGCCGTCCCGTCTGGGGCGCACCTGGGTCGGCCACCGCCCTGCACACCTCCGGGCGAACGGCGCGCGTGGGGGGGGGGGGGCGAGGGCGGGTCACCAGCAGACGGGGCGCGCGAGGCTCTGTCCCGCGGGGAGCCCCCCAGGAAACACCGCCCCTATTCCCTCCCCAAAAGGCGCCTCCGACCCCCGGGGACCCGCCCTTCCCCGGAGTCCCGCGGAGCTGACCTTTGACGCGGAGCCCGCCCTGGGCCGGAGGGTGGGTGGGGGGGTTGCACCGGCGGGCAAGGGGGGTGCCTCCCGCCCGAATGCGTCCCCCTCTCTGGCCCCACCAGGAAGAAGTTTGGGGTCCTCGCCCCCAGTGGGCCTGCGCGCCCCTCGCGGCCGGGTGCGGGCGGAGGCGGGGCCGCGAGTCCCGGGGGCGGCCTGGGGGCGGGCCGGGCGCCCGCAGCCCCGCCTCCGCCGCGCCCTCCTCGGGGCGGGATAATTGAACGGCGCCGCGGGGCTCCGCGTTGGCTGCGAGGCTCGGCCGGAGCGTGGACCCCGCACTGTCCCCGCGCACCCGCCGCGCCGCCCCGGAGCCGTGCCTGCGCCCCGCGCCGTTGTCCGCCGCCCTCCCGCCCATGGAGCGCGCGCCCTCGCGCCCGGCCCCGCGGCCGCTGCTGCTGCCGCTGCTCGCCGGCCTCTCGCTGCTGGCGGCCCCAGGTAGGAGGGCGGGAGGGCGGGGCGGGGCGGGAGCGGCGCCCCGGTCCACGGCCCCCACGGGAGTGTCCCCCGAACACCCAGCCCCGCGCCCCTGGGAAGTTCTGGAGCTGCCGGCGGTGCTCGAGCTGGTGCGCCCTCCGCGCGGCGCCCTGTGGCCCCGAGGCCTGGCCACGCTGCCGCCCCCACACCCACTCCCAGCTCCGGCCCCAAACACCTTGCTGTTGGAGGGGCTTGTTTTAAAGACGGACCCCCTCAAGCACCTCCTCCTGCAGGCTAGCTCGCACCCACGTTGCCCACCCTAGTGCCAGTGCCCACCCGCCGTCCAGGCCAAGGTGCGGGTGGGGGAGAGGAAGTGCCAGCCGGTTGCCTGCGCCTAGCTCCGTGGTGCCACGCTTTCTGCACCAGGAGTGCCCTGTGACATATCTGCGCACACACCCACCTCTGCCCCAGGGAAGGGCTGTTGTACCCAGTTTGCTGATGAGAGAACAGACTGGGAGGTGGGATTAAAGTAACTTGTCCCACAGACAGAACCTGTGGTTGGGCAGGGCGTGGACCTGAAGAAGTCAGAAAGACAGGGAGCCATCTGAGGTGTCAGGGTGACAGCTGTGTGTGGGGGAACCCCCACCTGCCCTCCCTGGACACAGGCCCCCAGACACAGGTTCTGCCAGCTCCCTCCTCAGCGGGGCTGGGGACAGGCCACTTCCAAGCCCACCCAGATGCAAGGGGATGGAGTCTCCACCAGCAGACCCTTGGCCCAGAGCCCCCCTCCCGGGACTGACACCCTAGGGATGGGGGCATCCTCAAGGCCTAGCTCCTGGGTCTGGGGGTGGGGGACCACAAGGCCCTTCCCATCAGAGCCATGACCTCTGACCTCTCTGCTGACTTATCAGCTATCAGCCAGGCCTGCCTTCCGGAGGCTTTGTTCCCCTGGAGCCAGGCCCCTTATCTCAGGCTTCGCCGAGCTGCTGGAACTCTGGTGGCCGCCCTCAGCTCCTCCAAAGTCAGGGGACCACCCTGGGGTCCCAGAGTCTTCACCTCTGAGTTTGTTGAGTTTCTCTTAACTCTCAGGTGACCCTCCTGGTCCTTGGTCAAAGGTCATTTGCCCCAGCTGTGTTGGCCTGGGGCTCAGGGAGGGGCTGAAGGGGGGGGGGCTTGGCTGGAGTGTCTTGGCTCACTGACTGTGTCCGACCTTTGACCTTTGGGGAGCTCTGGCTGTTGGGGGCACCAGCTCCATCCTGGGCATGTCCTGGGGCACATTTCCTGGGGGAGAGCGTGCAGGGAGGTGCAGGGCTGGGCAAAGACAGCAGAGACTTCCTGACCCCGCAGGGCCGCAGGCAGCTTCTTGGAGGAGGCGGTGCCTGGGCAGGAGTGAGTGGGCAGGTGGGCCGGTGGGCAGGTGGGCATTCAAGGGACCACTGGCTGGAGTGAAAGCACGGGGTGGGGGGCTCGGATTGGGGGCCACACAAGCTCCTGTGGAAGTGGAAGGGGCCTGAGACGCCTGCATTTTACAGGTGAGGCCCAGGTCCTCCATCGCTGTTCTTCCTGCCTGCGGTGCCAACAGGCGCCCCTGCGGCCTGGCCGTGCCCGCTGCGGAGGGCACCCCGGGTCTGTTAGGCGGGGGTGGCACAGTAGCCCTGACTGTGGGAACAGCCATCTTCTTCATGGAGAACGCCCTGACCTCCATGTGCAAGGAACCCTCTCCACGGCCCCGTGATGAGAACACCTGGCTGCCGCCGCCTTGTTCCTGGGGGTGGCCCTCTGAGTTTAGAGGGTGCCTCTGGCTGGGGGACACGGGGGCCGAGGACTGGGCCCCGATTCCTCCCTGCGGCTGTGAGCTCAGAGCAGTGAGGGTCCCGGAGCCCCGGGAGGGGCAGGTGACACTGTCCCACCCTTCGAGGAGTTTAAAAGCAATTCTGGGGAAAGCCAGCAAGTTGAGAGTCCTTTAGCTCATCTGCTGAAACTCATGGGGTGACCTGGCCACAAAGGTCGTGCCCAAGGGCACAAGCCGCCACCCCCTCCACCCCACCCCCTCTATCTTGGGGATTTACCGAGAGCCGGGGTGGGAGGGAGTGGAGAGGAGGGGGTTGTGCTTTTTCCAAGACTTTGTTGGCCTTTGGCTCCGCTGATTACAGAGAAAGTCCTGTAATCAGTCTCTGGGAAGGAGAACAAAGGAGCGAGGACTTGGCTTGCGAGCCCGCGGCTGCTCCGGCTGGTCCTGGAGGGCGCCCAGGAGCGTGGCGGGGGGCCAGGCGGGCTGTGGGGGCCGCAGGAGCGCCGCATGCGTGGAGATGAGACGGGGGCCTGTGGGGCGGCACCGGGACCTCTTCTGTGGGGCTCATAGCTCCAAGCCACGCCCCCTCCTGGCACTGCCCGAGCCTCCCCAACTCTGGACTGTGGTTGGGGGCGGGCATGGCTCCCTGTCTCAGGTCCTAGCAGGCACCACAGCTAACAGCCCGCGGGGTGGTTTGGAGGTTTTCTCATTGGTTAACGGAGAGAAAGGAGACCAGAGTCTCAGGTGGCCTTGAGTATGGGGGGGGGGAGAGGGTGGTGCCCCCGTGGCTGCATTATTATTCCGCGTGTTGTCCCCTTTCCTGGGAGACGAGTGTCCTTTCCCCCAAGCTTGCTCTGAAAGCGCTCGTACTAAACTTCTCCGGCCGGGAAAAGAGGCCCACAGGCCACTGAGCCGGCAGCTGTCAAATGCCACAGCCATGTTGGTGAAGGCCAGCAAAGCCCCCCTCAGGCCTCCCGTCGCTAAATATCCACCGAGGACCAGCTCTGTGCCAGAGCCATCCTAGGTCTAGGGCCTGGCCCTTCCGCCCGTGGGCGCATCCCCTGGGGGACCCAGAAAGAGTAGATAATTACAAATCAAGTTCAACTGGCAGAGAGTCAGGGAGGACGTCCTGGAGGAAGCAGCCTGCCAGCTGGGGTGTGAGGAGCAGAAGGCAGTGGCTAGGTTGGTGGGCAGAGGTGGGAGGAGGGTGCTCCAGGCAGAGGGAATGGCATGGGCAAAGGCCCAGGGTGGAGAGAGAATGTGGGACTCCAGGAAGCTTCCAGAAGTTCTGCCCCCTCCTCGAGCTTGGGGAGCACGCAGTGCTGAGGGGCGGCGTCAGCAGCCCCCCTTCCTTCAAGGAGGGGCTCTGTGAGCCATGGGTGCGGGCAGCTCTGCAGGTGAAGTTCTATGGACCAGTTCTCATAGGGGCAGTTGTTTGCCAGCACATTTCCTACAATGAAAGCTTTTCCTTTTGCAGAACAGTGAATTGTAACAGTTGGGCTTGTGTGGGCTTGTATGGCTTCTTGTCATGATCTGCACTGTGGCCCCAGAATACAGTGGCGGGAGGGCACCCGTGTTGTCAGTTTTCCTGGGATCAGAGACCCTGGAGGGAGCTCAGAGGAGAGAGGGTGTGGCTGGAGGCTAAGCCGTCTGTCCCAGTCACCCGCTGTCGCAGGTTGGGGGCCAGGGCTGGCGTCTTCTGGCCGCCACTCTTCCCACCGGCTACCTCCTCCACCCCCAGCGGGGCCGCAGTCGAGGCTGGGCCAGCAGGGGCCAGGGCCTGTCGCCCCGCTGTCCCCGTGTTGTCAGGAGGGTCCTACACTCGAAGGGGCTGGGAGACTGGCGCCCATTCTCAAAGTGACTCGCGAGAGCCTTCCGACCCCCACACCCTCTCGGCTTCTGGTTCCTTAAATACGGAAGGAACGCGTGCTCTGCGCGAGGAAGTCATTACGGCGGAAGCGGCCACTCGTGGACTCCTCAGCGTCGCAGGAGCAGGAACATGGTTACGTCCATCTGACAGGATGGACACCAAGCCCAGAGGGTCAGGCAGCTTCCCGGTCAATGCGGGTCGTAAATAGGGGACCAGGACGCGGACCCCGTGCTCCTAACCCTTGGGCCGGACAGCACTGTCTCCCAAGGCAGGCTGTGCAGGGAGAGGCGTCCTTCGGAGCGGGAGCCGCCCTGGGGCCTCTGAGGGGCTGCAGCGGGCCTGGCAGGAGGGTCCCCAGGGTGGCGGCACCTGCCTCGGTGGAGGTCAGCAGCTGAGCCTGCCCTGCTGCAGGGAGGGCTGCTGGCGGGGTGTCCAGCCCAGCGGCCGGCTCGGCCTGCCTCTCCTCGGCGTGGCCTGAGGCAGGCCCTCCTCGCTGCCCGCTGGGTGGGGCATGGAGCCCCCCACCCTCACCCCAAGGAACCGGAGGCCACAGTGCGCCTCCCGGGCACGTGGACTTCCCGGGCACGTGGGCCTCCTGGGCATGTGGGCCTCTCTGGCACGTGGGCCTCCCGTGCACATGGCCTCCCGGGCACGTGGGCTTGCCGGGCACGTGGGCCTCCTGTGCACATGGCCTCCCGGGCACGTGGGCATCCCGGGCACGTGGGCCTCCCGTGCACGTGGGCCTCCCATGCACGTGGCCTCCTGTGCACGTGGGCTTCCCGGGCATGTGGGCCTCTCTGGCACGTGGCCTCCCCGGCACAGGGGCTGCTGCCTCTGGAACTGCCCACGGGGTAGAGGGACCCTTTCCCGGCACCTCTGTGGAGGGAGGTGCGCTGGGCCGTCCGGGTCCGGATGCAGCAGGGCAGGCCCAGCACCGAGGAGGACGGCCCTGGGCATTACTCAGGTCTTGTTCCTGCTTGTTCTGGGGACACTGCCCCCAGCCTGGCCGGGTGACCCTGCCCGAGGGGGTGCGGGCGGGGGCGGGAGACTTCCGGGCCCCAGGGGGCTCGGGCGGGTTACTCCGCCCTGAGGGCCAGCCCGGAGCCCTCTCCCCTGAGGGGGATGTGGGGTGTGTGCTGTGCCCGACTGCCAGCTCCGGCCACTCCGAGGGGACAGCGCACGGGCAGGGGGGGCCCTCCAGGGCCGGGTCCTGGTTAGCGGCAAAGAACCAGGAACCAGCCTCGGGGTCCCAGGGGCCCGGGTTTATGGCGGCAGGGGGAGAATTTGGGAAGGGATGAGTCATCTCTGGGGATTGAGAAACGGAAGGGGAAGGCCAGTGTGCCCTGGGGAGGAGTGGAC